CTACTACTACTACTACTACTACTACTACTACTACTACTACTACTACCACTACCACTACCACTACCACTACCACTACTACTCCTACTCCTACTCCTACTCCTACTCCTACTACTACTACTACTACTACTACTACTACTACTACTACTACTACTACTACTATTGCTACTACGACTACGACGACTACTACTACGACTACTACTCCTACTACTACACTGCTACTACTGCTACTTTTACTTCTACTACTGCTAGTACTACTACTACGTCTACTACTACTACGATTATTATTACTACGACTACGACGACTACTACGACTACTACCCTTCATACGACTATTACTACTACTACGACTACTACCACTCTTGCTACTACTACTACTACTACTACTACTACTACTACTACTACTACTACTTGTACTACTACTACTACTACTACTACTACTACTACTACTACTACTACTGATACTACTACTACTGCTACTACTACGACTACTACTACTACTACTACTACTACTACTACTATTACTACTACGACTACGACTACGACAACGACAACGACTACTACTACTACTACTACTACTACTACTACCACTATTACTACTACTACTACTACTACTACTACTACTACTACTACTACTACTGCGCTTACTACTACTACTACTACTACTACTACTACGACTACCACTACCTTTACAGTCGCGACTCCTGTCTACGATGAGTACCACTATTGTGCAACTACTACTACTAATCTTCCGACTGACATTAATTAATACTATGAGGACTACGACTACGACTACTTTTATTACTACCACCACCACTACGACCACTACGATTACCACTGTGACGAGTATTACGTCTACCATTGTTCCCAATACAGCAACAACTACTACTACTACTACAACTACTACTACGACCACGACTACTACTACGACTGCCACTATTATTATTACTACCTCTGCAGCTATTGCTATTATTCCTACACTAAGACGTCTAGTGCTACTAGTTGAACTACCACCACTAGTATCTTTACTACTACGACGACGACTAGTACACCTGCTACTACGACCCTTACGACGACGACTACTACTACGAATATGTTGACTAGGAATATGTCGGTTAACTACTGACTGCTACCAGCACCACCGTTACTACTATTGTTACTTCCACCGCTACCACTACCACTATCACTACCACCACTTCTGCCACATCACTACCATTAGGACTACCACGACCACTTCCATTTCAACTTCCGCTTCCATTACCACTACCACTACCACTGCCTGCGTGCCCTCTCGCCTACCTACCGACCTGCATGTCATCCTATTTCTTATGCCACCACTACCACTACCAGTACTGCCATGGAAACACCACCAATACAACAACTGCTGCTACTGACGCGTACCACTACACATACACGATCACTGCCTGCGACTACTACTGCGACTCCTACTACGTCCACCTCTACCACCACTACCACCACCACTATTACTACTACTGCTGCGACTGCTACTGCTACTACTACGACTGCAACTGCTACTGCTACTACTACTACTACTACTACTACTACTACTACTACTACTACTACTCCCACCATTATTATTACTCGGACTTGGAGCTCTACTAATACGATTTCTACTGCAACGTGTATATTACTTTTGCGACGACGACGACGACGACTACCACAAATACTACCACCTGCTCTTGCGACCACCACCATTATCAATTGTTCGGCTACGACTACTACGGTTACTTTTCCAGCGGCTGCTGCGACCTTTACTATCACTACTAGCACTACTACTACTACTACTACTACTACTACTACTACTACTACTACTACTACTATTTCGACTACTTCTACTACTTCTACTACCACCACTGCTAAGAGTGCTATTTCTACTATCACTAGCACTATGGCTACTACGCCGACTACAGCTACTACTGTTAACAATACCTTACTATTACGATTATTTTTGATTGTATAGTGCTACAACTACAGCTGCTACGACTCTCTACTACTACGGCTACGAATTCTATTATTACTCGTACTAGCACGACGGGTACTACGACGATCACTATTACCCGGTTTAGTTATATTACTACTACACATACTACTACCACTATTATAACACTACCACCGACATACTATTATAACACATGCTACTACCACTATCATAACACATACTATTACCACTTTCATAACCATACTATTACCACTATCATAACACTACTACTTCTTATACTACAACTACTACTACTACTACTACCACCACTACTACTACTACTACTACTACTATGCACCAATTTTTCTACGACGGCTACAACTACCCTTACTACGATTACTATCGTTATTGCTACTCAGACGACGACTGTTACTACATCTGCGACAACTTCTATTACTACCTTCATTAACACCACGACTACGATTATTCCTACATCTACGATAACTACTACCACCACTGCCACTACTGCTACTGCTGCTGCTATTTGCGGCGGTCCTGTTACTACGACTACTACAACTACTCGTAATACGACTGCAACTACTACTGTCACTACTACGGCTACTTTTACTAGTACTACGGCTACCACCATTCAAGCAATTAGTTGTTTACTACTGTTCCTATTACTACGACTACACCGTTTTTTTTATCAGTGTTACCACTACGACTAAAGTTATTGCTATTGCTACTGCTGCTACTACTGCTGCAACAGTACGGCTGCCCCTTGTTGTATCGCCACCACTACAACCACAACGATTATTATTACTACCACTATTACGACGTACCGTACCACTACTACTCTTACTTCTACTATTACTACTAATGCTACTACTACCACTACTGCTACTACTACTACTACTACTACTACTACTATGACTACTACTACTACTACTACTACTACTATCACCACTACTACTACTACTACTACTACTACTACTACTACTCCTATTACAAGTCATTACTACGGCTACGGCTACTACTACGATTACCGATGTTACTTGTACGACGACTACTACTACTACTACTACTACTACTATTACTACTACTACTACTCCTACTACTACTACTACTACTACTACTACTACTACTACTACTACTACTACTACGACTACTACTGCTACTACTACTACCATCACTGCGACTACTACTACTACTACTACTACTACTACTATTACTACTACTACTACTACCACTACTACTACTACTACTACTACTGCTGCTGCTGCTACCGCTAATACTACTACTACTACCGTTACTTCCACCACCACCACGAATTCGATATAGTACGACTACTGCGACTCGTACTACTACGGTTACTGCTGTTGCTCCTCTTTGTAGTATTACGACGAATACTACTACTACTACTACTACTACTACTACTACTACTACTACTACTACTACTACTACTACAGCTTCTACCACTACGACCACTACTACGATTACCCCCACCACCACTACTATTGCCTATTGCCTCTTACTACTACGAGTACGAGTATTACCTACGACTTCCTACGCTGATCATTCACCAACAACTACATAGTGCCATACTTCGTGCAAATGCCACTCCACCAGGGAGACCCGCCAGAGCGAGGAGGGTAGTGGAACACCATACTGTTTACGCTGGTTCGTTCCTTTCTCACCTTTGCAGGGAGGCCCCGCCAGAGTGAGGGGTTCATCGGACAACTATACCATCTACGCGTTTTCGTGCCCCTTCCCACCTTTTTAGGGAGGCCCCGCCAGAGCGAGGAGGGCATCTTAATTACACGGCTTCGGGCCCCTCCCACCACTCCACCACCACAGCGAATTGTATGATGAATGGTGTTTGGATGAAGGCGATTTTGTTGAACGATATTTGGGTGAATGGGTGTTGGGTAATGAGTTTTGGGCGATTGATTTAGCGTTTGCGCGTATCTCGTATATTGTACAATCGTTGGTCGTACCTTCCACGTTCACGTACCACGTTTTTCTGCATACACATATCATAGAACAAGAGTTCTTCAGTATAGTACATGGTCTATCAGATGGTCTTCCGTCTGGTATTGGAGAATCCGCTTTCGGTTGGGGTTCGAGATGGAAATGGAAATGGAAGTGGATATCGTGGTGGACATGGAGATGGGGGGAGAGAGGGACAGAAGACGGAACTAGGTAGGAGGCGGTGGACGGGGAGAGGCACAAAGACAAGGCAGGAAGGGGGGAGGGAGGTGGGGGTTAATGAGGACAGGGCAACATCACAGAGAAGGGCAGGAGAAAGGGACGAGGGTGAAGGGGCGAGGGGCGAGGAGAAAGGACGAAGGGAGGGAGGGAGGGAGGGGGGAGGAGAAAGTGGACTGGTGCGAAATGGTTCCGCAGAAGAAGCGAAAGAGGACTGGGAGGAGACGGATGAAGTAGACCGGGAGGGCATTGGATTTGGCATCCAATTGTGGTCCGTGTGTTCAGACCGCTCCTGCGATCCATAACGAGCGGGGGAGAGGTAGCAGCGGAGGAATAGAAACAAGCAGGTGGAACACAGCCGAGCAGGAAAGCGATGGTAAAAAACCCAAACATTTATACCCACAGTCCCCTGGTCTCGATACATGGAGGGGCGTGAAGACAAGGCCCCTACAGGTGCCTCCTGGGCCCCAAAGGGGCACGAGAGGTGGACGCTTCACCCCCAATTTCTGGTCTCCCCCCTGCCAGGCGACGCCCAATTCTTGTGTCTCCCCCCGGGGTCCTGTGCAGAAGCAGGCCCCGACGCAGCAGCAGCAGCGGCGCGGGCGGCGGAGCCGCCATGCGGCGGGCCCACCCCGCGTGCCCCCCTTCGCCCCATGGCCAAGCAGTGGCGAAGCGTCCTGGCTCGCCCATAGGCGTACCAAACAGTGTTCTAAGAACCTTTGTGTGGTTTCCACAGAATGTTCTTAGAACGTTTATGGTTGAGGCTGCCGTGTTTTATCGCATCGGGTTTTATGTTCTAAGAGCACTGTCTCGTGATAGGCCTGTAGAAATGCTGGGACGGCGGTCCCCGCTCAAGGTACGCACAGGATGGCGGTGGGCGCCACCGACGGCACGGTCTTCGTGTGGGAGGAGGAGGTCCGCGCGCCGAGATGCGTCCGAGCTCTCTGGCCGAGGGAAGAGGGTTCAGCGGGCCAGGGGGGGCGGAAAGGGGAGTGGAGGAGGAGCCGGGGGAGGTGGAGGGGGAGGATGGGGGATGCGGAGGGGTTGGGGGGAGGATGCTATGTGGGCATGGGGGAGCATGGGACAAGGCAGGGATGATAGTCGAGGCTGTACGCATGAATTTAATTAATGGGGCTGGGTAAGCACCCCTTTCAATGGTATGTAATCTCGCTTGCGCCCTCCCGCCCCACTATTGTGACGTGCCGAGCGAAGGCGCGTGACCGAGAATAGGCTGGCCTCCAGGCTCCTGAAGATCCAGATTTTTATTCTTCTCCCCCAAGAAGCCTCCCAGAGGCCTAACATGTTTGCACCTGCCCTCTCCCTCGGTTGCACGGAGTCCGACTGGGCGGTAGCGAAACCTGGACCTTTGCGAGGGGCCAGCCTATCAAATGGTACACGCTGGGGCATGAAGGGGGCCGGACATGAGATATCGCGAGGATTTCTTGGCTGCTGTTCGGATGCAATATGCTTTGTCTCTTCTGTAGCCGGTTACTGGAGCCAGCCTGGCATGCCTTGCCACCTGGGGCGCGTGGCCGGGACCGCGGGGACATTCCCAGCTGCCTCTTCCTTGACACACTTGCTGTTGGGAGCGAAGTGCGCGAATTCGCCACTGTGGAAGTCGACATACGCGACGCCAACCACCAAGCACCTAGTTCTGGGACTGCGAACGGCAAGCTCCACGCCCGGCACGCAGGCAGAAGGGCTCGAGGCAACCGCAGTCTGGTCTGGTGCAAAAGGGCCCGGCCTCTTCGGGCCCACCATCCTGATTACGCCCAAATCACCAACGCAGACTAAGAATACCCAAGGAACATCCGGTTTCGTGAGCGCTGCTATCCTGGTGGGGCGAGTGTATGCTAAGGCTACCAAGGGCTCCGCGCTAAAGTAGCAGCCCTGCCCGTAGCGCACACCCGCGCGTACACTGAGCACAGTGTTCCATCGTTCTGTCGAGGAGTTCCGGAGTCCTTTGTAAAGGAGCGTCAAAGTACGCCCAATGAAAGGACTTTGTCCCACTCTTCCTGCGAGATGGCCCGGGTGGCCACGGACTCTGGGGCCCTCTTTGGGGCCGCTTCGGGTGGTCTCGGGGACTTGCTTGGGCACCTGCTGGCGTTCTCGGGGGTCCTCTTGGGGCGGCGGGCTCGGGATGTCTGTTCGAGTTGCCTCCTTTTGGCCCCTCTTGGGGCACTGCTGGGGCCTTCTTGGGCGCCTTGTGGGCCGTCTTGGGGCCCTCTTGGGCTGTCTTCAGGCCCTCTAGGGATCTTCTTGGGCCGTCTTGGAGTGATCTCTGGGGCCTCTTGATTCGCCTTGGACGCCGTCAAGACCAAATGATGCGACTATGTCAAGGACGCATGGTTCCCCATGGGATTGGGACACGATTTTTGCCTGTGGAGGCCCTCTTGGGAGTCGTCTTGGAGCCCTCTTGTGGCGTCTTTGAGGCCCTCTTGAGGCAGTCTTGAGGCCATCTTGATCGTCTTTGATGACTCCTCGGCGCGTCGTAGCCCAGCTTGAGCCAGCTTGGATGGCATGCTGCGCATCCTGGAGTTCCCAGACCCCCCCCACTGCCTTGGCATCGCTCGGACGTGTGTATTCTTCCTCTGGTGAGTCCCATCGAGGAGCATCCTTGATCACTTGGCGAAAACAAACACGCACGAAACCGAAAAAAGCACAGGGAATGGACGTCCGAGCGATGGCCAGCTGCGGGGCCTCCCCCGGGCCGCCCTCCCACCCCCCTCTAATGCGATTTGGGATTCCTGGGGAGGGGGACAGCCACATGTTTCACACGCTTTTTGACCCCCCAGCCAGCGGGGCTGGCGGACTACAGTGCTGTTTTTAATGCATGCTCCGCGTGGTGACCATGTATTAAAAAGGCAGGGATTTAGTATTGAAGACAACGATGAGTTCATGCATAAATGTATTCATAAACTGATCATGTATTAAAAACCATATATGTTTAAAAATCCTATGTATTAGAAACTACCCTGTACGGGGAGCGGCCCCGCGAAAACCGAGCTCCACAGGTTCTTTCGCCCCGTTCTGGAAAGAAACCACCATCCTTCTCTGCAGCGATCAGACCTTCAGGGAAGTGTCAAGTCATAGCCCAAGGTCGAAAGACAGAGTCGTTCAAGCGGGTAATCGCTGCACAGGTTCAGTTTGTCGCGATGGCGTTCGAGGAAGTCCCGAACGAGAGAAGAGCGTAAATAACAATCGCTCACCAGCCATGCATTTGCTGCACAGCGTTACTGTTATTGTCGCAAGTGCTGGTGAACGATTACGTGAGAGCCCTATTCTGAGAAGGGGGCGACCTTCGTCCGCGTAAGTGTGCCAGGCTTCCGGACGACTGCGACGGCGCTACGGCGGGAGCCGCATGTGGAGCACGACGTCGTCTCCCTCATGCAGCTGGTGGAAGCTTATAATCCGACTGTGCGCGGCGCCAAGGAGAGCCACCAACAAGCGGGACGCGTTTCGGCCGTGTAGATGTCGAAACCTGCACGACGAACTCACGCGGCCCAGGGGCGTGGAGGAGGATGGAGCCAGAGGAAGCCGGTCGGGAGACATGAGGATGAAGAGAGTGGAGGAGTCGTAGAAGGGTGGAGGAGTCGTAGGAGCCGACGCGGCAGCGAGGAAGCTGGGCTCTGTCTTTGAACAGTGTGCGGACGTGCCTGGGCGTGGTCTCCTGGCAGAGTTTCGCAGCTCGGTGCCCTGCGGTGACTGACACCATCAGGCGAGCAGAGGCGCATCTGCTGACGCGGGGGAGGGGGATTTTCGAGGCGATGGACTGGGCCAGTTGTCTGGACGAGCCGCTTGTTGGTCGGCAGGGGCACTGGACAGGACTGCTGCGGAAGCGGGCGCGAGACCAACTGCTGCAGACGCTGGGGGAAGACGACCGCGTCGACCTCCGCTCGGGTGGAGGGCCAGGGGCCGGCGGGCACCTCGAAACCCCAGTCGTCAGGGAGGGGGAGACGCCAGCGATGATCCGAAACCAGCACTTCCGAATGGCCCTCGCAGACCGTCTGCGCTGCGACCTGTGCGCCCCTGGAACGCAATGCCAGCTCCGCAAGCAGGACGGCACAGTCTGCGGCGCGCTGCTGGACAGGCGGGGACGACACGCGCTGAAGTGCCCTTGCGGCCCTTACAGAACGGGGAAGCACGACACGATGCGCGATTTTTGCGCGGCACTGCAGGTCACAGGCTTCGCCGCGACCGCGGAGCACCTGTTTGCAGCCTGGCACTGGACCAACCCGAGGACTGGGGAGTGGGAGGAGGCCAGGCTGGATGTCGCCACCCGCGACGCAGTGACGGGCACCGCGGTCTATCTCGACGTGGGCATCGCCTGCGCTCACAGCGACGACCAGTCGCGCCAGCGGGCTCGCTCAGGCCGGGATGGCCTTGCCGCCCAGACCCGCGAGGACGACAAGCGAAGGAGCTACCCACCTCACGGCGGCGACCTCGTCCCAGTCGTCTTCGAGACCGGCGGGCGCCCAGGTGACGCGGCAGTGGCCTGCGTCTGGTCCTTCGCGAACGGCCTAGAGGGGGCGGCGCGCACAGAGGTGCGTCGGTACACCTGGCAGCAACTCAGCTGCCTCCTCCTGGTTGGCAACGCCGAGGCGCTGCTGGCAGCCATAGGCACCTGATGCCTGATCCTCAGGTAGCCGCGCTGCCCGGGGCAGCGCATCGCGTCGGCGAGCGCGGCGTGAGCGGCTAGGGCAGCAGGCAGGCCGGCAGCCGCAGTCTCCATTCGACGACGACCTCGGCCTGGACAAGAGCCGACAACAGCGACCACCGACTCTCCCGACAACGGCTGCCGTTCCCGTCTTTCGTTCCCCTTCCTGTTCTCGTTCCCTTCGGGCCGGGCGCCCTCGCTGGCAGGTGGTGTTTTCCAGGTGTTTCCTCCTCTTCCTGCACCTCGCCCTCCTGACAGGCGAATAACCCGCCCGCGAGGAGCAGAACATGTCTTGCATTGTGGCTTAGCTTAAATTCGAAATTCTGCAACGCCCCAAAATGGATTCGGTTTAGAGTATGCCCCCCGGAATAATGCTCAGGGCCGCCCCCTGAGGGCTGGTGGGGGCGCCACACCCGCGACCAGAGGAGGAGGAGGAGGAGGAGGAGGAGGAGGAGGAGGAGGAGGAGGAGGAGGAGGAGGAGGAGGAGGAGGAGGCCGCCGACGACGACGAAAATGACGACGAGGAGACCGAGGGCGAGGACGAGGACGAGGATGGCGACGACGACGGCGACGACGACGTCGACGACGACGAAGACGACAAAGACGACGACGACGACGAGGACGACGACGACGACGAGGAAGACGACGACGACGACGACAACGACGACGACGACGACGAAAAGGAGGGCGAGAGGACGACCCTGCAGCCAATGTCGCGGAACAACTCCAGCATCGCGGACAATCGCGACCAGAGCCCTAGACCATACCTCGCTGCGGCATTTCTCGGGCCGCACCGATCTGTGATGGTCCTGGGGCCCGAAATTGGGCGGTCACGCCCAGCGTAAGAGAAGATACAAGCCAGGAGCTCAGGGGAGGAGGGCGACGACAAAGACGAGGACTGCGACAAGGATGAGGAGGGCGACGGCGAGGACGATGCTGGACGAGTCGAGTAATGACAATCTGCACAAACATAACTTCTCGGAGGTCCGCGCCGATCCCTGGCGCGCGGAGCGCGGCAGTGGCGGGGCAAGAGGGATTGCCAGGGGGTCCCGGCGCCGATCCAAACAATCCGCACGGATATTCGGAAAAATATGCTTGTGCAGTCTTGCCTTCTGCATCGACGGGGGGAGGGCAGCGAGGACGAGGACGAGGAGGGCGACGAGGACGAGGACGACTGCGAGGACGGCCGGGACGAGGTGCGGGCGAGGACGAGGCGCGGACGATGACGAGGGCGAGGAGGTTGAGGCGCGACAAGGACGAGGCGAGAGGGCAGGGCGCGCGGGCGCCGCGGGCGCCCCGCCGGAGGCGGATGCCGGTAGCGGGGAGACGCCGCTGTGGGAGGAGGCGGTCAGGCTCGCCCGCCCGCCCCCCCCCTCGTCTTATGATGTTGCAACTTACTCGAGTCTCGAGCACCAGTCAGACGTCCGAGCACCAGAACAAACACCTCCGAACTCGAGGGTTTTCACGCGTCGGGCCCTGGGAGGCGCTCGTTCGACACTCTTTCGACACTTTTCCGGGTGCTCGAAATTGTTTCTGGGATGGGGTCCTTGAGTACGAAAAGAGCAACATAGGCCTCGTCTCGGGCCGGACGAACGCCCAGATCTCCGACGATGTGATCGGGGAAAGACACGGCGGCATGAGCAAAAACGTTGAGAGTTCCGCGCGGATCCCGGCGCAGAGGACCCGCCTGACGGCGCCTCTGGCGCCGCCCCAGGCCAGCCCGAACGTCTGAAAAGGACCAACACCTGCGTAAAAAGAGAGTTTCGGAGCTCCGCACGGTTGTCTTGGATCTGCGCTTGACCCCCGTTCATTGGTCTCTGGCTCGCGCAGCGACGGGAGGCGCCGGGGGCGCCGCGAGGGGGGAGATCCAAGAGACTCGCGCGGTGTTCCAACAGTTCTGCTTGGAAAGTTTCTCGTTGCCATGATCTGCTTTCGATCCAGGCGTTTTTGCTCGATCTCGGCCCTTGGAGCCCCTGGTCAGGCCCCCGGGGCCACTGGCCTCCACCCCCAGCCTCCGAGGGGCTTGGCGCTGCGACAAGCACGTACGTCAGGCTGCACCATGTGCGCTACTACCCCCAATCGCACGCGTTCGATGATCGTTCGAGGTAGGGCTCTGCTCGCACGGGCGTACGTGCGGGCAGGGATCGGCACAGACCACGCGCAATGCCGAGTCTTCTTCTTCTTCTTCTGCTTCTCCTTTTCCTCCATTGTCCTGCTTGTCCTCCGCCGCTCGACGTCTGCTTCCTCCCACCCGAACGCGACGGCGACAACGGCGCCCCCAAACCCCCTTGGAGGAGGAGGAGGGATGCGGGGCGGGGAGGAGGGAGGGGAGGAGGAGGAGGAGGAGGAGGGGGAGGACTGGGGAGGACGACGAGGAGTGCCTGAGAGCTTGACGATCTTCCTCCAATCGACTAGCGGGAATGCAGACAGATAAATCGAAGTACGCCGGGGAACATCCACATACGTGCAGGCACATCGGTATACAACAATGTACATCCAAAGGTACCCAAGTAAATCGTGGGGCACGGACCCAATCCGAGGGATACACTTTGTCGTTCAGCCCCTGACGACGGAGGATGAGGAGGAGGAGGAGGAGGAGGACGAGGACGAGGAAACGGCAGGAGAACGATTCGGAGGACGAGAACAAGGTTAAACCCAATATGCATCAACGATATTGCAATCAACCTTCCAAGTTTGTCGCCATCGACCCCTCAAAGAAGATACTCATGAGAAGCCAATCGGTTGAGAACCTCCAATCGCGTCAAAACACAGCTCCTGCGGCTGCAACTCTGCAGAGCAACGTGATTGTTGCGTGCTGGCAATTATATCGTGCCGAGACGTTTGTTGTCCCAGGGACCTCTACAGAGCGAGTCAGTGTGATTGTTGCGTCCTGACAATCCCAGGGCCATGCGAATCCGTAGCACAGTTCTTCATTTGTACTGCGAAAGTGCGAGGCGCGAAGGCGGGACCCAAATAACAAGAAATAGCCGATCTCCACTTGTGAAATGTTTGCGAACCTGCGCTAAGTCGAGAGCCACCATTAAAGAACGGCTCGCCCTCATTCGTGAAGGTGTTGCACAGTTTGAAGACAAACGTGCGCGGCACCAAAGCGAGCACTTCAATTTTAACAAGGCTCGCCTTCCATCCGTGGGGTTGTTCCAAATCACATTTTCGGGGTCATAAGTTAAGAGGAAATCCCTGGCGATACGTCCAGACCGCCTTGTCGAATCGTCTGTGTGTGCGACAGGAGCAGGAGGAGGAGGAGGAGGAGGAGGGGGAGGAGGAGGACGAGGAGGAAGAGGGGTGGGAGGACGAGGGCGAGGAGGAAGAGGTGGACGATCGTGTTGTCGTTGGGGATGATGATGGTGATGCTGATGATGGTGATGATGCTGCTGATGATATTAGTGATGGTGCCATGTTTATGATGCTGATTATGATGATGGGAATGCTGGTGATGGTGATGATGATGCTGATGATTACGGTGCTGATGCGTACGATGATGATGCTGATGACGATGATGGTGATGGTGATGGTGATGGTGAAGATGATGTTGTTGTGGCACGGTTCCTGCGGGCGCTGCGGCCGAGGCTTGGCCAGGTCGGGTCCGACGCGCAAGCGGCGCGCCAGCACCCGCACTTCACTTCCTCATCCTGCCCTCTGTGCTCTGCGCCGCGAGCGCCCAGCCTCCAGGCATGAGGCCCGTCCCTATCCGCGCCAGCTTCTGCCTGGTCGGCGCCGCTTCCTTGGTCGGCGCCGCGCACGGTTCTGCCATGTCCTCCATCATCTCTATATTGCGAGCGCCCCGCTTTCCGCTCAGTAGTGCACCTCCAGGGTCCTGTCGTGCTCCGTCTTGTGCGTGAGCTGCGCCGACTGGTTGCCGATACAGGTCTGCGGCGCCCGCAGCGCTCCCAGTGGCGATGCGCCCGAAGCCGCTGCCTCCACGTCCTCGCCCTTCAACCACTCCACGGCGCTCGTCATCCGTACCCGCGAGCCGCACTCTCTGCATTTCCAGCACCTCCTGCCCATGTCCGTGTTGCTTCGCTTCGTCTCCGCCAACAGTTTCACCAAGCAGTCTCTTTGGCATTGGCTTCCCGCTCAGCCTCTCTTGATGGCGGTTGTGACGGTTCCTCTTCGGTCGCCGTCACGAGCGTAGCCACAGTTTTCTTCTCCATCTGCGCCGGGATGCCGTCTGACCACCTCACGGTGCGAGTTTGCGCCGCCGACACTTGCTTTGGTTCCACGATGTTCTCCACGAAGTTGTTCTCTAGCTTGATGCAATGATGATGGTGGTGATGTTGATCATGTTGATGCCAAGGAGGAGGAGGCGGAGGAGGAGGAGGCGGATGATGATGATGAGGAGGAGGAGGAGGAGGAGGACGTGGAACAGGAGGAGGAGGAATCGGAGGAGGAGGAAGAGTGGGAGGAGGAGGAGGAGGAAGGGGATGAAGGGGAGGGCGAAGAGGATGAGGATGTGGAGGAAGAGGAGGAGGGGGAGCAGGTACGGGGAAGAGGGGGATGTAGAGGAGGAGGAGGAGGAGGAGGAGGAGGACGAGGAGGAAACCGAGGAGGAGGAGGCGGATGAGGATAAGGGGAAGGAGGATCACGAGGACGAGGAGGAGGATGATTTTTTTAACGCTCGACCTCTGCTTGACCCCCATCGAGTGGGGACCACCTCTCCTCACAGCACAGTCCAAGGAGAGGGCAAAAACTGTACGTTTTTCTCCCTCTTGATCTGCTGTGGGTGTCGGCCCTGGGTCACATAATTCCAGGCCGTAAGACCTGCGCCTGTCTTCTTCCAAGCGCAGAGTTCACCCAGCTTCTTGACACGGCCGCCTGTGCTGTAAAAGCCGCATCGGCGGCAGATATAGAGGAAAGAACCGTCCGTGCAATCCAACACAGCACATTGGTGGTTGAACTGCTCCAAGAGACTCGGGCACAGGCGAGGAGGCACGACACAGTGGCCAGGCGCAGGACGCGCATGGCCACGCTTGCCCCTCAAACATGTGCCACACTGCCAAAACCCCCCAGTCCAGCTCCACTCGTGGGGCGTCTTAGACGCCTGAGCGGATTGAACCTGGGGCTTGATGAATTGCACACCCGTTAAATCAAGACGCGGCCAGCGCGGCAAGATCTTGGCTGCCAAGAGGATGGCAGCCTTCGGAATCTTTATTTCGCGCTCGACGCGAGACAGAACATCAGGGTTGGCCTGGGGATGGACACCAGCACCCTGCTTCGCAGCAAGGTCTGCGTGAAAATTTCCAGTCCTCCGCCAAGCCTCCTGAGCAGGAATTCCTTCTTCATCTACAGCTTTGTGCGCGGCGACTTTTACCAGGCCCTGCCTGGAGGCGGGGACCCGCACCCGCAAAGGCTTCCAGGACCGAACCCGCTCAGGCCCGTTGCCCCCCCAGGCGGTCCCTAGGCGCCCTGGAGCACACCGAGACAACCGACGCACAATCAGAGAAAAGCGACGCGGGCCCATCTAAGTTGACACCAGCAGCAGTTAGTGACGAAAATTCGCCTGCCTGAGACGACTGCGGCAAGTGAGACCAGACGGGCCCAAAAACTCTGGCCAGAAGATGGCCCTGATCTGACATGAGCACAAAGGCCCAGTCGGCCCTGGACAATTCACGAATTTTTGACTGAAAGCAACTGCCGTCCAGGAAAAGGTTACCTTCAAATCGATTATTCTCGGGCCCAGGGAATTCCAAACCAGAATCCTGGAAACCTTCCTGGAAGAACTCCATCTTTACAGCGCCCATGCCCTGCTGACTGACTGGTGGCGGCACGTAGTCTCCAGGATGCGCAAAGGCACCAGTCAAGAAGTTCACGAGGCCCCCTGAGTTCTGGTCACAAGCTTCCCTGGCCCACGAAATATCCTCCGCATCCACTAGCTCATTCCGTTCCTCCTTGCACACTTCGCACTCCCATAATCTGTGAAAAACAGAGCCCACCTTAGCATGACAAAGTGGGCACAGAGGGCTCACTTGGTAGCCATACCTTAGTGCGCGGGAGTTGGTCCACAAGGCGTTGCAAGTGAGGGCTCGCGCGGAGCCTTTTTCCCCAAGCCGTGGGTTTTTTCGAGCGGAGCCCAGCCGTGACGACATCGAAGCACAGGCGATTCGATCCATCAAGGTCGGGGGTTTTCCCATCGGGGGCCAACTCCACGGCCGCGGGCTCATCTAGGCCTTGGACAGGCTCTGGCGGAGGAACTCCAACGCCACAAAAAGAGGTCGCCGTCCACCAGCTTGCCGTAAGCCGCTCCCTCGAGCTGGCGCAGCACTGCCTGGTGCAGCAGAACCTTGAAAAGAGCTGGCGGGAGTTGCTTACAGGAGAGCTCTCGCCCCATGTCGTCGATAAAAGCCGCCATGCTCCTCATGTCCCATCCGATCCTCCGAAGACTCATGAGCATGGCACTCGTCGGTCCCGAGACACTCCTCCAAGTGATAGCTTGCTGACGACTGACAAACGCACTTTCCCGGGAAGCACGGAAAGTCGCCCAGTCCAGAGTTCCAGGAAAAGCTCTAGTCCTGAGAAGTCAGGCTTCTTTCACATAGCGCAGCACTGGGGCGACCGAGCCGTGCCGCACAGGGCCCCCCTCAAGACGCGACAGAACCGTCAACGATCTACGGGCGGCATCAGGCTCGATGGAACTGGCGGCCACTCGCCGAAGACTGTGCACCTCACCATCCGTAAGGCCCTGGACTTCACAACCGTAAATATACCCAGGCATCGGACCTGAAGTGAACACCTTGACAGCTTTCCGCCCAAAGTGAGACCGATACCGCTTCAAACGCTTAGCTTTGCGCTGCATCTTGATATTCCTCTCTTGGCGTTTCCTCATCCTCCCTTTGCCCGTCCTGAAACTCTTACCAGCCGCGCCGTCGCAGCCGAGGTTGATGGCGGAGGTGTCCAGCGCACCGAAAGGGCCCAGATCAGCCTCCAGCTGCTGGCCCAAGGCGTCGCAAGAGCACATCAAGGCAACCTTGTCGAGAGCCACGAAGCCCCCTAACATCTGCCTGATGCCCGCCAGAAGCAGAGAGGCCATGTTCAGGGTGGTAGATCTAACATAAGACCTAGAGCCAATCGCCGAGATGCAAGCGTCGTCGATATAGGCGTCGAAGGATGAATGTTCCGATGTCTCCCGATCGATGCTGCGCAGGCTGAGCGAACGAGGGGCCGTGTCGAAGGCGTCGGGGGCATGGGCTCGAATGAGGTGGTGGCCGTGCTGCAACCCGCGGTAATGCCACGAGTGGCCCTCAGAGGGCCAGCGATGATTCCAGAGAGGCAGATATATCGGGCCGACTTGAACGCCGCCAGACACACATGCAAGACCCCCAAAGGAAACTTATGCCTACGACCTCTGAGCTCCAAAGCCTCAAGGTCTATCAGCTCATAGTACTTGCACATGTCCCACAGTACAGTGGTCGAGAAAACACCTCGCCTGACACCAGCTTCCGACCTAAAGGCTTGGCGCCACACACAATCCATAGCCCCTCTGTGCCGTCCAGCGGCCCACTAGTCCCTGGAAAAACGCATTTCCCAGGCCTCCGCCAGGGGCCAGCGAGCCCGCCCCCGGAGGCGGTGCACCGAAGGGAAAATGTCTATCGGCCGAAATCCCCTTTTCTCTTTGGCCAATGAGGCCACCAGAACGGCCGAAAGCTGGGTCGGAAGAGTGCCCGAGCGCTCAGCAAGCGAGAGGATCAAGCTGAGCACCTCCGAACTGGCGTCACTGAGGTGCTGAAAATGCCACATGTGAAAACCATCGTAGGACACGGCGCTCCTCTGAGGATACTTCCTGCTCAGCTTCCGAAAATACTCAACCCCCAGAGGGGGGAGGGGTTCAGAAGGCTTGCACCTGAGCTTCGGAGGAGACACACGGACCTGCCAGAGGCCCGAGTACGTTTTGACCTCAGCGTCGAGCAGCTGCTGGGGATCTGACACAAGCTGACCCTCCGAGGAGAGGGTAGTAGAGGGCTTCCAGCAAAGGGGGTCTTTAATAGCACAGTGAGCATTGCGAGCACCCTGGCTGAGTTTCTCCGTCAACCAAGCGTGCCAGTCCTGACCAGCTACCCGCTGGTAATGCTTCGCGCGCGCAGCTAGGACCTGTTTCTGACGCGTGAGAAGGGCCTTCAGCCTAGCAAGCCGAGCAGCAAGCTGGTCAGAAGGTCCATCCAAGTCGCTCAGAGAGGGGTCACCAGCAACATACAAGGTGTCGCCCCCTTCCTCGCCACTGCAAGGGGCAGGGGAGGCAACACGTTCTGAGGCCAAGTTTTTCAAATAGGCATCCAGCTCAACGTGGGGAAGAGGGTTGAAACACTCCCAGTCCTTGAGCGAGTCCCTGATGTCCTGCAACGGAGATTTGTTGTCCTGGTGGGCCAGCTGACAAGGGACCCACTCAGACTGGAGCAAGCCGGCGATCAGCTCGCCGACGGCGCGCCTGATGTCAGCCGGGGCTTGTCCAGCCCAGACCGAAGGTAAAAGTTGAGCAGCAGCGCGAAACCTAGAGCAAAACCACCTCGTGGCACGGAGCTCTGGGCACCGCCGAGCTTTGACATCTTCCTGAAGGATCGGCTTCCATATAACCTGAGGGCCCTTACCTCTAGCCCAGCCTCTGACGGAGCTCTCCCTCAGAGCCGTTGGCCCATATCTGATTAGCCCTGCTCAAAAGACGCTGGACCTCCATAGCATCCTGGGACCTCAGAGCTCTCTCCCCCAACTCCAAGAACATGTGAGCTCTTCCGAAATCCCCTGGGGGCGGCCCCACACCCGCAGGGGCATCCACTGGGAGAGGGGGGGGGGGGGCTTGCGGAAACCCAGGGCCTGCAGGCGGCAGAGAGCAGGGTAGAACTCAAGCTCCACCGCGAAGTGCGGCGAGAACTCGCTATTTACGCATCGCTGCACTTGCTTCGCACCTCTAGCCAAACCTCCAGAAACGAGGAAATAGTCGTAGTCCGACTGGCGAGCTCCAAAGCAGGTAGGCGCACCCGTTGAAAATAAGTTCGCATCTAGCTAACTCCGAGAAGCCCGTATCTCGGAGCTCTGGGGGCTTGAGGTTGAAATCGCCCCCCACCACGTGCGAGAGGCCTTCGAGGACCACATGGGAGCCAATAGTCTTATGAAGCTCCAACTGCCTGGCCGTGAGGCCCTCCGTGTCGAACCCGTAGACTGAGACGAGCCCAAACTGAACACCCCCTGGGAGATGAGCAACAGCACCCAGAGCGCGGCCAATGTAGATCTGCAGAGGCTGGTGGAGACCCATGAAAGCCCTGGCCAGGATCGCCACGTTTCCTGACGTGCCTCCTTCAGCCGTCCGAACCGCAGGCTCCCACAGGCTCTTCCGTCCATGATCGAGACGATATTTCGAAGCACGACCAATCGAATCTTGGTCAGCCAGGTGGTGCTTCTGCACCAAGATGACGCGAGGGGTCACTGCCGACGGAAGCCAATCACGAAGCGAGCCCCAGCTATTGCAATTTGCCGTGGCGATTACCATTCCGGACCCTGGGCCTGGGACTCCTGGGCCCGATAGATAATTACTAAAGTTTGTACTAAAGTTGGCTCCTTCAAAGTTGGACTCCCACCCTTCCCCAATCCGACAAAAAAACAACACTCGCGCGAGGTAGAAGACGGGTCAGGCGGGGAGCCGACAAGGGAGCGAGAGGGGATGGCCCCCCCCCCCCCCCCCCCCCCCACCACACCCCCCCCCCCCCCCCCCCCCCCCCCCCCCACACACCTTGGCAGCCACTTCCCCCGCCCCCACCACCGTTGGAGGCGGGGGGGCGAAAGGGCGAATCAGACATTGAGAGCACCCGTGAAAGCCTGGCACGAAGAGCAGGGTCAGCTCCCGAAGGCCGCGACGGGCCCGAGCCGCCGCCAGAAGAGGCGGCTGGGGCTCCACCGCCAGCCTCAGTAGACGCTCGCTCAGCACCTCCAGGCGCTGCCGCACCAGTTCCTTGACCAGGTTCTGCAGCGCCGTCGGCACCTCCAGGGGCCTCGCCCTCCAAGGTCCTCCTCTTCTTCTTCGACAACCGCTTGAGATGCTCATGGTGCTCACGACGAGCGGCTTCAAGTTGGGACGGCGCGTTGCCGAACAGCTGCTTCGCCATGTCCTTGAGGCCTGCGCGCAACTGAGCTTTGCGCGACTCCAGCTGCTCCTTGTCATCAGTAGACATCTCGAACTCCTCTGGCATGGTAGCGCAAAAGTCATCATCAAGTTCGAAGCTGAGCTCCTTGCCCTCCATCAGGTCCCGCAGGCTGATGATCGGGCCAGTCGACTGCTTGGGCTGCGCCGACGGGGCCACCCCCAGGCTGATCTGCTCAACCAGCTCCGAGTACTGCCGCTCGTAGCCGTCCAGCTCGTCAGCCATTTCCTGAATGGAGGCTTCAAGCGCCGTGGTCGCCTCCCGCCAGCGCTCCAGCTTCGAGATCTCCTTGTCAAGCTTCTGTTCCACCTGCCTGATCTTGCTCTGGGTCTGCGAGGCACGGGTGTGGAGCGAGGCCTCAGGTTGAGCACGAGCAGGTTGAAGTAGCTTCGCGCGGGCGGACTCGTACTGCTTGGCCAGGTCAGATTGGCCTTGACGAGTGGCAATGGCGGCCAGCTTCTGAAGGCCCTCCGCGCAGAGACTCTTCGTGTTGATGCCGCCAGTGCTTGGTCCACCACCTCCGCCGACTGGGCCAGGAGGAAGCGGAACAACACGAGAATTGCCAGCACCATGAAGACGAGTACCAGCACCATCCTGGGCAGGGCGACGCTGCGGGTCGACCTCCGAGCACGTGGAGCCGTTCCACTGGGCCTTGCAGTGCTTGCAATGCCACATCCAGCCCAGGTTGCGAGCACATCCGCATGAGCCGCACCGCCACTTCGCATGGCGGAAAGGTTCAGGGCGACTTTGCCAGGGCGCAGGGGCCATGCGCGCGCGCCGAGACAAGCACCGAACCACTGCGACTCGCGACAGCAATGCCCTTCTGAAGTTTGCTGCCGACAAGCTCCTCCAAAATGGCTGGAGCCAGAAGGGCTCGAGGAGGAGGATGAAGAGGAGGATGAGGAGGAGGAGGAGGAGGATGAGGAGGAAGAGGAGGAGGAGGCCTACAAGAAGAAGGAGGAGGAAGAGGAGGAGGAGGAAGAGGGGGAGGAGGAGGAAGACGAGGAGGAGGAGGAGGAAGCGAAGGAGGAGGAGGAGGAGGAAGAAGACGAGGAGGGCGATGAGGGCGAGGAGGAGAAGACCGACGTCGTGGGACCGCCAGGCTGCAGCACCACAAGAGCCCCGTCGTGGGTTGCTGCTTCTCGCACCGCCGGCAGCTGCTGGCCACGCTCCACATGGACGCGCCGCCTCTGCGCTGGCGGCAGTGGGGATCGAAGATCGTTGCAGCTGTCATGATAATGATGCGTTCCACCAGTTCCCAGGGTTGCAGGATTTCAGAATTTCCCACATGTTCCGCACGTGCTCCAGAAGCGAGGGCCGCTAGGTACCCGGAAACCCTGGAACGCATCCTGAGCCAATCCTATCATGACATCATTCTCGTCGTAAGGAGACGCAGCAGAAACATGGACGTTCGACCATTTGCGCGGAATGTGTTGTATCTGCGCTGGACCACCCGGATTCCTCGCGCGCGGAAGGAAGTCGGGCCTGTCCCTCTACAGGGGGAAGACTCAAAAATGATCAAAAAATAGTCTGGGGAGGATTTGTGGAGAATTTTTGACTATTTGGGGGAATTCTTGGGGTACTTTCCATTTTTCTGTAAAGATTCCCCTGTAGGGGAACAGGCCCGACCTGCGCGTAGAAGGGGACCCTTCGCAAACATGGATTAAGGGGGCGTGGATTGGCGACGGGCCCCGTGTCCATGGGACATCGCGGATGTCCGCCGCCGAGCGAGGCGGTGCTGGCCGCATTTTGGGGAGGGCACCTCCCCCGATCCGTGGATTTGGCGACCGCGCGCCAAATCCATGGATCGTTGATCCATGTTTGCGCGCCCCCGCGAAGGACCTGTGCAGAGGGGGAGTATTCTGCATGCGTCTGACGCGCAGGCATGTGGCACGTGTTTTTCACCGCCAGGGGAATGATGAACAGGCGGTGGTCGGATTCCCCGCAAGTGACCAGACGTGCGCGGAGGGGGAGTACGTCTTCACCATGCGTCCGGTGCGCGGGCGCTCTCGCATTTGGCGTGTGCGTTGACGCGTTCAGGTCCCCAGGAAGATGTCGTACATGCGGTCGTCGGATTCTTCGTGTGTAGAAGTTCGTGCGCGGAGATGGGGTTTTGAATTGAAACGTAGAGCGTGAAGGACAGCGGCATGTGCCTTTCTTGCCCCGTGGGGCCTGGGCCAGGCTAGCCAAAAACGCCACCTCTTCACGTGCATGCTGCCGTCGACCCTGTAGTCGAGCTTTGCGCCTGCACCGCCTTGGACCTCAAGGGTCCTCGCATCCTTCCGCCGGTGGTGGCTACAGCATTGGCCTCTCACCACCGTTGGCACCTGCAACCTCGTCGGCGTGACGTCGCTGGCTGACACCTTCCGCACATCAACAGCTGCGGGCCCTCTCTCACTGGGGCGCCTGCCTCCGCGCTCGGGACTGCACAGCCCGGGCCCCTCGCGCGTCCACGGTACGGGTCGCCCCTGGCTCCAGCTTCCACCCATGGGATGGTGTAAGCATTGCCTCGCTGCGGCTCGGGACGCCAATGCCATCTCGAAGTTTGGCGGCCAATTCGGGGGGGCCGGCCGGACGTGCACCTCCTGCCCACCCTGAGCGAGACGGCTGGAGGAGGGGGGGGATGAGGAGGAGGAAGAGGAGAAGGAGGGGCGGATCCTCTTGGAGCCTTGGAGAGCTCCCGGGACGTCTAGGAGGCTTCTCGGATCGTCTTGGGGGCCGACATGGGCCGTAGGTTTGTATGCCAGCCCCTGCAGAAAAAAATTGGCATGTGGTCACGCACCACTGCATGAGGTTTTGAAGATCTTGATTTTTCGCTTCCGATGGGCTTCTTAGGCTTCTCAATGGTCGTCCAATGGCCCACGCCTGTCCCAAGAGGATCCGCACGAGGCCACAGCACGGCCCCCAAAGCGCCCCAGAGTCCCCTGTGACCTGCCCCAGAGACCTCCCAGAGTGCCCCCCGCCCACACGGCTTTTGAAATCGTCGGACGGGCCAAGAGTGCTCCAGAGAAGCCCGAGGGAGCTCCAAGACAGTCCACCAGGGCCCTTGGAACCCGTCAGGATGGCCCCGAGTCGGCCGAAGACGGCTTCAAGACGGCCCTCGAGGCCGTCAGGACAGCCCTGCAGGGCCTCCCGACGGCCAAGCAGCTAAAGATGGCCCGCAGACGGCCCCAAGAGGGCCCAGATGGGCTCCCAAGAGGCCCAGACGCCCCCAGGCCCCCAGGAAGCCCAAATCCTTCGATTCGGCCTCCTGTGTATCCTCAGGTAGAGGCCTCTCGAGGCCAAGAGATTTTGCTGCACTTGAATCGCTCCGAGCGCAGTGTCTTTTCCTGGTTCCTACGGTCGTCCAAAATCATGCGTTTCATCAGGCAAGGGCCTGTTGAGTCCCAAAACCTTCTGCTGCATCTCAGGCGCTCTAACGACTTTTCACCACCCAACTTGTATGATCGTCCGGCCTCCTACGATTTCTGACGAACGCGCATCCCGGTGTGCCATAACATTTCGGAGCAAGCGTGCACTGGTGCGCTGAACTCCTTGTGGGACACGATCCGCGTGAC